TTTTTTTAAAAAACAATGATTTATTTATTTTTATTTTATGTTCATTGGTTTTTTTTGCCTGCATTCATGTCTGTGTGAGATTGTCAGATCCCCTGGAGACCGAGCTACAGGCAGTTGTGAGCTGCCATGTGGGTGCTGGGAACTGAATCCAGGTCCTCTGGAAGAGCAGTCAGAGCTCTTAATCACTGAGCCATCTCTCCAGATCTCCTTGAACCCTATCCCAACAATCAGATATTCTCTTGCCACCAACTCCTGAACAATCGGGACAACTGTCTTGAGCCATGAGGTTTGGCTTCTAACAGGGAATACACTCACCTGGTTCAGACCAGTACCAGGCTCTGTGTGGCACCTGCCTTTAATCCCAGCACTCAGGAGGCAGAGGCAGGCGGATCTCTGTGAGTTTGAGGCCAGCCTGGTCTACAGAGTGAGTTCTAGGCCAGCCAGTGCTACACAGTGAGGTCATGTCTCAATAAAGAAGGGATGGTGGGTGGAGACATGGGTCAGCTCCCATGGGTGGCTCACAATCGTCAGTAACTCCAGTTCTTTGGGATCCAGTGCCCTCTTCTGGCCTTCCCAGGCTTTAGGCACACATGTAATCCGCTGACATATGTAGGCATAACACCCATAAACAGAAATAAAACCAAATTAAAAAGATAAATCCCAAGCAAACAAAACAGAACAAAAGACTCAAACTTTTTTAAAAAGTAAAGTAGCTGGGCATACGTCATCTCCTCCAGACAATTGTGTGTGTGTGTGTGTGTGTGTGTGCGCGCGAGAGAGAAAGTGAGAGAAAGTGAGAGAAAGAGAGAGTAAAAGAAATTATAACCAAATTTATCATCTTCACCATTTTCTCCTCGAACTAAAGCATGAAGCTTAGCAGAGTTGATTGTGCGCACACAGTTGACCTGGAGGGACAAGCCCTTGTTTTTCTTACATATTTTGTACGTTATTCTCCTGTGTACTGTTTTCAAAGTCTCCCCTCGAGGTCCTTCTGTGGAGAACTTCCGCTGTGCAGACAGCCCTCCAGAGAAGGACACTCTCCTGGTGAGTGGGTGTCGCAGTGAATCAGGAAGCACACTTGTGTTGCTGATGTGCGGGAGCACAGGCGAAGGGCAGCCTCTCCAGAGCCGGAGAGCTGGACTGCAGGGAGACGCCTGGATAACTGTGCTTGCTGTCTCCCAGTCCCTCTTCTGTGAGTTTGACTGCTGAGTTTCCCCCACTGGCAATGCAGGAAAATGCCTGTTCCCTAAAGCCACATCAACAGACTGTGTTGTAAACTTTTGGGTTTTTGCCAAGCTGATAAAAGAGAAATGCTGTCTCGATGTAGTTTTAATTTTCACTTATCTTCTGGATGGGGTTGAGCATCTTTTTAAAAATTTAAAAGCCATTTGCATTTCCTTTCTGTGAACTGTTCATAGTCTCTGGCCACCTCTCTTGGGTTGCTGGTCCTTCCGGTTAATTACGAGCTCCAAGCAAAAGAAAACGCTGGAAAAGAAATAGAATGAATCATAGAACAACACAGGGCTGCACTGTGAATAGCGGTTACAGCTTCACACCCAGCTAAGCACATAGGATAACCTGGAATAACACAGAATCATAGAACAACACAGGGCTGCACTGTGAATAGCGGTTACAGCTTCACAACCAGCTAAGCACATAGGATAACACGGAATAACACAGAATCATAGAACAACACAGGGCTGCACTGTGAATAGCGGTTACAGCTTCACACCCAGCTAAGCACATAGGATAACACGGAATAACACAGAATCATAGAAAAGCATAGGGCTGCACTGTGACTAGTAGTTACAGCTTCGCAACCAGCTAAACGCTAAATGTTGATTTAACCAAAATTTTCATTTAATTCTCTTGGGAGGGTATGTGTGTCCCTGCACCAGGTTGGGGTAAGACATAGGAAACCAAACCCTCACTTTCTGTGGGGAAGGCATAAATCTAGCACAAACAGCATCACTCTGGCTGTGGCTCTGGACATGTGAAGGTGTGTGGAAGACAGACGGTCCCCTGGGGGCCCTGTGGCTCCCTCTGAAGTGGGGTTGGGGGCTGTGGAGGGGGTTACAGGAGCTGTGTTTGTTCTGCTTTGTTTCCTTTAGCAGTTCTGAGGACTGAAGAGCAGGCCCTGCACAGCAGAGGGCAGTGCCCTCCCACTGAGCTATGCCCTCAACACACAGGAGCTAAGGGTTTCCATCAAAGTTGTTTAGCCCATTTAACTTTGTAAAACTATCACTGTGGTCTAATAAAATTAACTATAGACAATTAAAGGGGATGATATGTACATTGCACTATAAGGCCTCCCTGTGTTAAAGAGGGGATATCATAAAATCTAATATACAGGAGTGGGTTTGGGGTTTGGTTTTTGTGGCACTGGGAATGGAATCCAGAGCCTAACATGTGCGGGGCAACTATTTTATCACCGAGCCATGGCCTAGGCTCTACAAGGGGGCTTTGTGCTGGTGACCATAGCATGGAATTAAAAGAAGCCTCACAAAGTCTCCTTTCTTTTTCTGTTTTTCTTCTTCTTCTTCTTTTTCTAGACAGGGTCTTGCCATGTAGCCCTGACTATCCTGAAACTTGCTTTGTAGACCAGGCTGGCCCCAAACTCACAGAGATCCGCCAGCCTCTGCCTCCCGAGTGCTAAGATTAAAGGCGTGCGCCACCACATCTGCCTTCCTTCCTTCTTTCTTTTTTTTTTTAAATATTTGTTTTTATTATTTAAATTATGTGTAGGTGTGTGTCTGCATTTGAGTGTAAGCTCATGAGTGCCGGAACCCGCAGAAGCCAGAAGCATTGAATACCCTGGAGCTAGAGTTATGGTGGTTACAGGAGTGGTGGGATGTGGGTGTTGGAAACTGAACCCAGGTCCTCTGGAAGAGCAGCAAGTGCTCCTTTTTGTTTGTTTGTTTTATTTTCCTTTGTTTTTCAAGACAGTGTTTCTTTGTGTAACAGCTCTGGCTGTCCTGGGACTCTCTTTGTAGACCAGGTTGGCTGTGAACTCACAGAGATCTGCCTGCCTCTGCCTACACACCTGGCATATAGCCTGTGCTCTTAATGCCTAAGCCATCTCTAACCCTTAGGATATATATGTGTGTGTGTATGTGTGTGTGTCTCTGTGTGTGTATGTCTGTGTGTGTCTCTCTCTCTGTGTCTGTGTGTGTCTCTGTGTGTGTGTCTGTGTGTATATGTTGGGGCAGTCTGTGAACTATATCCCTAGCCTTTAGTTTTTTGGACAAAGTCTCATCATGTAGCCTAGGATTTCCTCCAATACACTATGTAGCTGAGGCTGGCCTTGAACTTAAAATCCTCTCCCTTTAGCCTGTGTGCTGGGACTATGTGCATAGGCTGCCATGCTGGGCTCCTGCAAGGCTGTTTTGAAAAGCAAATAACGCTGGAGAGATGGCTCAGCAGTTAAGAACACTGTCTGCTCTTCCAGCAGACCTGGGTTCAGTTCCCAGCACCCACATGGCAACTCACACCTGTCTGTAACTCCAGTTCCAGGGATCAGACACCCTCATACAGACAAATACAGGCAAAACATCATTGGTCATAAAACAAAGTTAAATTAAAAAAGAAAAGAAAAGAAAAGCATGTATAGTCACAGTCCTGTTGGGAGGACAGACTTCCAAAACCAAAGGATGACTCTGAGTGCGTTGTTTTGATTTTGGTTGATTTTTTAAGCAGGGTCTCACTCTGTAGCCTCCTGAATGCTAGGATTAAAGGTGTGCTCCACTATACCCAGACTAGAGTTTTCTTTAAAGAAAGTATTTATTGATTCTCTGTGTATGTGTGTGCGTCTGAGTGTCTATATGTACACCATGTGCATGTAGGAGCTTGTGAAAGTCAGAAGCAGGTATCAGGTCCCCTAGCTGTTGTTACAGAGGTTGGGAGGTACCACGTGGGTGCTGGGCATCGAGCAGGTCTGCGAGAGTCCTAAGTGTTCTTAATCTCTAAGCCGTTTATGCAGTCCCATATTCGCTGTGGTTTTGTTTAGGTTTTGACACTGAGGGTTATGCCTCAGGCCTCATGCTCTTTCACTTTCCCCAATCCATACCCCAGTCCGCAGACCTTTGGATTCTGGCCTGATGGAGTACAGGAACCATTGTCTTCTTTGCTGCCTTAAATAACTAAAAACATAGCCTGGCAGTGATGGCACACACCTTTAATTCCAGGAGGAAGAGGCAGGCAGATCTCTGTGAGTTCAAGGCCAACCTGGTCTACAGAGTGAATTCCAGGACAGCCAGGGCTACACAGAGAAACCCTGTCCCCAAGCCCCCAAAACATTAAAGAGCAAGTAACAGACCCCGTGAAGCTCTGATAATCAGGAGAGGGCAAAAGTGAGTGACCGGAGCCCCAAGACTGCCCAGGTTCTCAGGTGGAGCTACCAGGCTCGGGGTAGGAAGCACAGCCTGCTGGTCTCTCAGAGTGAAGGCTGGAAGGAGGGGAACCCAGTGAGACCAAGGCAGTTCTAGACTGTAGCACGAAGTCCCAGAGTGGAGAGCGGCACAGGGAGGGGCCTTTGGAGATCCACAGAGTGGCCCTCATCTCTTCAGCTGTGCGATTAGCGAAGCCTGGGAGAGAGCCGCTCTGGGGTGAAAGACCCAGGAGAGAAGAGCAGCAGAGTGTGTCAGAGCTCACCCAGGGTCACCAACCCCTCATCTTCCCTCCCACAAGCCAGAGCGGGAAGACAGTCTTGCAGAGGCCGCTCTTGGCTGGTTCCAGACGCACTGCTCTTAGCCCTACACTGATCCTTCATAGCCGGCTCAGTAAAAATGGAGAGACAGCCTGAGCATGGAGCTTAGCACGGAGCTTTCCTCATGATGCTGACGGATCCCCGCTGATTTCTGCAGCGGCAGCAACTCCTCTGCTACAGCCGCGGAAGCACTGCTCCTAAGCGGTGGTCTCAACCCTAGGAAGAGTGCTGTCCTTGTATCTTCCGTTCCCGTCTTCGTCTTTCAAACATATCATCATCGTCATCATTATTTTAGATGGTGGAGACTTACTATGTCGCCGAGGTGGGTCCTGATTCCTGGGATTAAGCAATTCTCCTGCCTCAGCTTCCAGAGTTCCCGGAACTACAGGTATGCTTGGCAGTTCCTATATTCTGAGTTCTGCTGCCTTCTTGCTAGCCAGTCCCTCCCTGCTCTAATCCCTTATTAAGGTTAATACATCTTCATATTAAACCGCCCTGTGTGAAGTACCCTGTGCCTTCTTTCTCCCGACTGGATAGCTGCTGCAGCAACAGCTACTGCAGAATTGCCTCTTTAGCCCTAGAACAAAGGTTACTCTGGTCTTGCCAGATGTCACCTAGAAGCTTTGAAGGGCCAGGCCAAGGTGGATGTGGTGGCCCACATCTGAGAAACAAGTGAAATCTGGGTGATCAGGAGTTCAAGGTCGGCTTCGCAGTGAGCTCAAGGCCAGCATGAGACCCTGCACCCACACAAAAGTCAAACTGTTTTGTCTGAACTCAATCAAGTTTCTGAGGAAGGCTAAAAAACAGTGGAAGAAATCTTTATAAAATTCTAGCGTCAAACAACATTAAATGCCTAACATCTAATATCAAATTAGTAATTACCAAATGTTTGAGAGAATCAGATCCCCTGAAACTGGAGTTACGACAGCTGTGAGCTGCCATGTGGGTGCTGGGAACTGAACCAGGTCCTCTAGAGAGCAGCTACTGCTCTGAACTGCTGAGCCATTTCTCCAGCTCCAAATTTATTTCTTTTAAAGTCAAGCTAGTGGGACTCATGGGAAGACTCCAGGGGAAGAAAGGGAAGGGGAAATAATGTGATTGTATCATAATCTCCCTCTGTACACACACACACACACACACACACACACACTAACACACACACACAGAAAGCTGGCACACCTATGATCCTGGCACTTGAGAGACAGAGGCAGAATGATCAGGAATTTAAGACTCACCTTGAAGTACATGATACTGTCTCAGAGAGACAAAAGTGAAGAGGGCTGAGCCCAGTACACTGGATAAGGCCTTGGACTTAAGCCCTGCCCTGGACAAAAGAGCCTACATGAGGCTGGAGAGACGGCTCAGTGGTTAGGAGCACTTGTTCCTCTGACGGAGGACCTGGGTTTGATTCCCAGCACCCACATGGTGGCTCATCACCATCTGTAACTCCAGTTCCAGGGGATTCGACAGCCTTCTCTGGCCTCTGTAGGCGTCGAGCGTGCACATGGTACACAGTCATACACACATGCAGGAAAACTCAATGTGCAGGAAAATTCTTAAAAGTCTGCAGAAGAGCTAACACAATGTTTTCAGGTGAAACTAGTTGTAAAGTTGAAATGAATTTTTGAATTACGTTCATAGCGCTCACCTTATTCCATTGGCGTTGCCTTTAGCGGCACAGTCTATTTTTTTTTTTAAATATTTTTTATGGTTTATTTAACTTTATTTTATGTACATTGGTATGAAGGTGTCAGATGCCCTGGAACTGGATCTTCAGACAGTTGTGAGCTGCCATGTGGGTGCTGGGAATTGAACCAAGGTCCTCTGGAAGAACAGTCAGTGCTCTTAACCACTGAGCCATCTCTCCAGCCCCCCACAGTCATTATTTTTGATTAAAGTCATAACATAAATTTTTCATTAATTTTTATTGAGCCCTACGTTTTTCTCTGCTCCCCTCCCTGCCTCTCTCCTCCCCACTTCCACCCTCCCCCAAAGTCCCCTTAGATTAGATTTATGTAAGTCTCTCTTAATGTCCTCATTGTTATCTAAGTTCTCTGATATTGTGGTTTGTAGGCTGGATTTCTTTGCTTTATGTTTAAAAACCACCTATGAGTGAGTACATGTGATAATTGTCTTTCTGTGTCTGGGTTACCTCACTCAAAATAATGTTTTCTTTTTTTAAAAAAAATTTATTTATTTATTAAGTATACAGTGTTCTCCCTGCATGTCTACCTGCAGGCCAGAAGAGGGCACCAGACCTCATTACAGATGGTTGTGAGCCACCATGTGGTTGCTGGGAATTGAACTCAAGACCTTTGGAAGAGCAGGCAGTGCTCTTAACCTCTGAGCCATCTCTCCAGCCTCCCAAAATAATGGTTTTTTTAAAAAATATTTATTTATTTATTTATTATGTATACAATGTTGTGTCTGTGTGTATGCCTGCTGGCCAGAAGAGGGCACCAGACCTCATTACAGATGGTTGTGAGCCACCATGTGGTTGCTGGGAATTGAACTCAGGACCTTTGGAAGAGCAGGCACTGCTCTTAACCTCTGAGCCATCTCTCCAGCCCCCCCAAAATAATGTTTTTTAGCTTCATCCATTTGCCTGCAAAATTCAAGATGTAATTTTTTTTCTGCTGTGTAGTACTCCACTGTGTAAATGTACCACATTTTCCTTATCTATTCTTCAGTCGAGGGACATTTAGGTTGTTTCCAGGTTCTGGCTATTTACAAACAAAGCTGCTATGAACATAGTTGAGCACATATCCTTGTGGCACAATTGAGCATCCTTTGGATATATACCCAAAAGTGGGATTACTGAGTCTTGAGGAAGGTTGGTTCCTAATTTTCTGAGAAATTGCCACACTGACATCCAAAGGGGTTGGACCAGCTTGCATTCCCACCAGTAATGCAGAAGTGTTCCCTTTCCCCCACAACCTCTCCAGCATAAGTTCTCATCAGTGTTTTTGATCTTGGCCATTCTTACAGGTGTAAGATGGAATCTCAGAGTTGTTTTAATTTGCATTTCTCTGATGACTAAGGATGTTGAACATTTCCTTAAGTGTCTTTCACCCATTTTAGATTCCTCTGTTGAGAGTTCTCTGTTTAGGCCTGTACTCCATTTTTTTAAAATTGGATTATGTGATGTTTTGGTGACCAATTTCTTGGGTTCTTTGTATATTTTGGAAATCAGACCTCTGTCTGATGTGGGGTTAGTGAAGATCTTTTCCCATCCTGTAGGCTGTCGTTTTGTCTAGTTGACTGTGTCCTTTGCTTTACAGAAGCTTTTCAGTTTCAGGAGGTCCCATTTATTAATTGTTTTTCTCAGTGTCTGTGCTGCTGGGGTTCTATTTAGGAAGTGATGTCCAGTGCCAGTGTGTTCAAGTGTACTTCCCACTTTCTCTTCTATAAGGTTCAGTGTGGCTGGCTTTTATGTTGAGGTCTTCAATCCATTTGGACTTGAGTTTTGTGCATGGTGATAGATATGGTTCTATTTTCATTTTTCTACATGTTGATATCCGTATATGCCAGCGCCATTTGTTAAATATGCTTTCTTTTTTCCATTTGATATTTTTTTGCTTCTTTGTCAAATATCAGGTGTTTGAAGATGTGTGGATTGATATCCGGGTCTTCTATTTGGTTCCATTGGTCCTCCTGTCTGTTCTTATGCCAAAACCAGGTTGTTTTCAGTACCGTAGCTCTGTAGTAGAGTTTGAAGTCAGGGATTGTGATGCCTCCAGAAGTTCTTTTATTGTACAGAATTGTTTTGGCTATCCTGGGTTTTTTGCTTTTCCATATGAAGTTGAGTACCGTTCTTTCGAGGTCTTTGAAGAATTTTGCTGGGCATTTCATTGAATCTGTAGATTGCTTTGGGTAAGATTGCCCATAACATAGATTTTGATTGCAGCTTGTACCTTAGTGGTGCCGTTTAAGGAACGTTGCTAAGCCCTTTACATGGATCTCTAATTTCTTCATAGCACACATTTAATGAAGATCTGGTGATTTCAAAAGAAACAAAACAAAACAAAAAGAACATTTTAAAGCTAATCAACAGGCTAGGCATGGTGGTGCATGCCTTTAGTCCCAGCATTTGATAAGCAGAGGCAGGCCCAGCTCTGTGAGTTGGAGACCATTTTGGTCTATGTAGTGAGTTCTCAAAGCCAACCAGAGCTACATAGAGAGACCCTGTTTCAAAAAGAGCAAACAAGCCGGCGGTTGTGGCGCACGCCTTTAATCCCAGCACTCGGGAGACAGAGGTGGGTGGATCTCTGAGTTAGAAGCCAGGCAGGTCTGCAGAGCAAGTTCTGGGTAAAAATATGTCCAGTGGTTAAGAGTGGCTACTCTCACAAAGGACCTGGGCTTGGTTCCCAGTACCCACTTGTTAGCTCACGGCTGTCTATAACTCCAGTTTCAGGGGATCCCATACCCTCACATGGATTCTGAGGGCACCAGGCACATACATGGTACACAGACACACATGTGGGCAATACACCCATACATATAACAATAACAACAAAATAAATCTAGTGATTGTTATGGCTGCATGGCCAGGGTAAGGAGTAGCGGTTATTTGATTTTTTTAAAGATGTATTTATGTTTGGGGGACTGGAGAAATGGCTCAAAGGTTAAGAGCATTGCCTGCTCTTCCAAAGGTCCTGAGTTCAATTCCCAGCAACCACATGTTGACTCACAACCATCTATAATGGAGTCTGCTGCCCTCTTCTGGCCTGTAGGCATACACACAGACAGAATATTGTATACATACATACATACATACATACATACATACATACATAAATAAATAAATAAGATTTATTTATTTTTATGTGCATTGGTGTTTTGCCTATATGTATGTTTGTGTGGGGGTGCCAGAACCCCTGGAAACTGGAGTTACAGGCAATTGTGAGCTGCCATGTGGATGTAGGGAATTGAACCCAGGTCCTCTGGAAGAGCAGCCAATGCTCTTAACCGCTGATCCATCTCTCCAGTTCTGGCTGTTTGATTTGTTGTGTGGATATTTGTGTGCTTAGAAGTCAGAGGACAGACTGAGAGTTGATATTCTCCATCCACCAATGGGTTCCAGGGGTCAAACTCCAGGGTCAGGCTTGACAGCAAGTGCCTTTACCCTCTGGGCTCTGTTGGCCCTGATTTGAATTTTGTTTTGTTTTATTTCAAGACAGTTTTACTTAGCCCAGGCTGAGGCTGAACTTCAGCCTTTACGACTTAATTGTTGTATGTGCCACCATGCCCAGCCTCCAGGACATTGTGTGTTGAGGGGATAGGTCTCTCTGTGTGTGTATGTGTGTATTTGTGTGTGTGGTGTGTGTGGGGGGCTTCCCACTGGCCACCATGCACTGCTTGTGATTTCTGTTTTCTTTCACAAGTACAGTAATGTCCAAAGGCTGTTGTGGGTCAACCTAAGGAAAGTGGCCACTGAAATTCTGTCCTCACTCCCCCTGCCTGCGTAGACTTGCTTGCTGTCCTAAGATTGTTCCTAAGTGCTTACAAAGGTTAGGCTGGCATAACTTGAGCACCCTGGCCGAGGGTCACACTAGTGCAGAGCTACAGGGCTCAGCAGCACTGATGGTTTTCAGTTCCCCTTCCTTTTCCTGTCTTCGTGGCTGCTGAGCACCAGCAAGGAGCAAAGTCTTAGGAACAAGCCCGTCATGGGAAGAGGAAGCAGGAGCTGCTCCTCTGCAGAAACCTTTCCTATGCAAGGACAGTGGAGTCCATTTCTACAGCTTAAGAGACTATGGAGCTGGATCTGTGTCAGGATCATTCAAATATGATGATGCAGGAAGGAGTTTCCACACATTTAAAAGCTGAAATAATCTTTCTGGGGCAGCCTTGCATTGTAAAAAATGTTTTAAAAAATCCTTCAAGGGGGCTGGAGAGTTGGCTCAGTGGTTAAGAGCATTGCCTGCTCTTCCAAAGGTCCTGAGTTCAATTCCCGGCAACCACATGGTGGCTCACAACCATCTGTAATGAGATCTGGTGCCCTCTTCTGGCCTGCACGCATACACACAGACAGAATATTGTATACATAATAAATAAATATTTTTTAAAAAAGAATCCTTCAAGCAGAAGAAAAATGACGGATGATAGAAAGGTGCAGAGACTCAACAAATAGTAAGACAATATCTCACTTTATAACCCTGCTGACCTGGGACTAAGTTTGTAGACCAGATTGGCTTTGAACTCACAGAGATCTACCCCCTCTGCCTTCCAAGTGCTGAGATTAAACATGTCCTGGGATTAAAGGTGTGCATATCATACCAACTGTGAGTTTTGTTTGTTTGTTTCCTGAGACAGGGTTTCTCTGTGTTGTCCTGGCTGTCCTAGAACTAGCTCTCTGTAGACCAGGCTGGTCTCGAACTCACAGAGTTCTGCCTGCCTCTGCCATCTTAGTGCTAGGGTTAAAGGAGTGCACCACCACAGCTTGGTCATTTTATTTATTTATTTATATATTTTTAGAGAACTATAAAAAGAAAAGAAAAGAAAGGTGAGTTGGAGAGATGGCTCAGTGGTTAAGAGCACTGACTGCTCTTCCAGAGGACGTTGGTTCAATTCCCAGCACCCACATAGCAACTCACAACTGTCTGTAACTCTAGGATCCAACACTCTAATACAAATATACATCCAAAAAAGAGAACATCTTCATCATAATGAACTTTAAAATTGTTGGTGAGGGCTGAAGAGACGGCTCAGGGGTGAAGAGCACTGACTGCTGTTCCAAAAACCCAAGTTCAATTCCCAGCACCCACACAGTAGCTGACAACGATCTGTAACTCCAGTTCCAGGGGATCTGACACCTTCACACAAATGCACATAAAATAAAGTTAAAGAAAACTAACAAAAAAGAAAAAGGAGAAGGAGGCGAAGAGAAGGAAAAGGAGGAAGAAGAGGAAGCAGAGGAAGAAGAAGGAGGAGGAGGAGGAAGATCGGCTGACCCAGGTTGTAATTCTAGATCCGGGGCTTCCAGTGCCTTTTTCTGTTTTTCGTCTGTACCATGTACTTGGGTAGTGCACAGATATACAAGCAGTCAAAACACTCACATGCACACATAGTACACACGCGTTATATCTATTGTGGGACTCACAGACTTTATACAAATGCAGTCCATCGTGACATGAGGACATGGGCACAGGCTGGAATATCTGTCAACCCTGCTTATCCTTGTTCCTGCCTCACTATTGGCTGTTCATCTCTTTATTAGACCCTCGGGTGTTTTAGACAGGCACAGAATCACAGCTTCACAGTTAAACAAATGCAGCATAAACAAAAGCAACATGCCTTGTGACCCTCCAACATCAGCAGGGCTTTTGTTGTGCATATATATATGAAACAAGGATAAAAAGAAGCAACCAGAGAACAAGGGGAGGAGAACATCAGGGGCCAGCCACCCAGTCACCCAGTCACCCAGCCACCTAGTTACCCAGTCACCTAGTTACCCAGTCACTCAGCCACCCAGTCACCCAGCCACCCAGCCACCCAGCCACCCAGTCACCCAGCCACCTAGTTACCCAGCCACCCAGCCACCCAGTCAGCTACAGAGTAAGAGTGAAAATAAGATATACAGAGTGAAAAAAAAAAGAAAGCTCAGAGGCAAAAGGTAGTCAGGATAATTTGTTAAGAAAAGCTGGCAAGAAACAAGTCAAACTAAGGCCGGGCATTCTAACTAAGAATAAGCCTCTGTGTGATTTATTTGGGAACTGGATGGTGGGCCCCCCAAAAAGTCAAAAGAGTAAAACTCACACAACATTTTGGTCCAGTAGGCTGAGTCCCCACTGCCTCCCCGACCCCCACCTGGCCAGTTTCAACCATCCTTCTCAAAGCCACCTCAAAGGTTTGTTTCTTTCTTTTAAGAGGGGATCTCATGAGCCCCAGGTTGGTCTCCCTGTGTAGCTGCTGCTGACCTGGCACTCTTGCTCCCCCTGCTGCCAGCTCCTAGGTGCTGAGCTCACAGGCTCACACCACAAGGCTCAGCTGTGCACTCTCAAAGTTCAGCTCCTGCCCATGTGCAACTGGCGCTCAGGAGTAAGGGATGTTCTCAAGACCTACTGTGTAGCCTTTCTAGGGACCACTTTCTGGTGGGGGAGGGTTTCACTTTCTTTTCTCACTCCAAGGAGTGGGTGGCGGGATCATCTCCCTTGGTCAGGGATCTGTGTGGGCTGTTTCCTCTTGGGCCATCCTGGGGCCAAGGTAGGCAGACATGGGCATGGCCCCACGTGGGTGAGACAACCACTGTTAGTGTCCAGAGGCCCTTCCCTGAGGTTCAAGGTCTGGGTGTGTGTTTATCTGTCTGTGTGTCTATCTGGATGGGCCTGTCTGTGGTGTGGGCAGAAAGGTCTCTCTGACCTCAGGCTAAAATCTTCCAAAAAGGTCCTTCATTGTCTTCTCCTTAAGCAAGGTGGTGTAGGGGTGGAGTGTTCAAGTTCCTGGGGGCAGGTGGGCGTCTCTAGGGGGTTGTAAAATTTGTCTGTGTCCATCCTTACAGTTGTTTTTGTTTCGTGTGCTCTACAGATCCCAGGAATGTGACCATGGCCCCAGTATCCTTCTTCCCTGGCTGTACTTTCCCAGACTGCTGACTTTGACCCATCTGTTCGGCCACTGCCCTTCTTGGCACCAAACACTGTTTATTTTGTTGGACTATCAGCAGATCTGTGTTGGACAACTGTCATTTTTTTTTTTATGTCACCATATGTGACCCTGGATTCCTGGATATGAATGTGCCTTGGGTTGCCTGTAAACCCCTTTCTTTGTGTGTGAGCTGGAGTTGGGTAGGTGGACGTGAGTGTGTGCTTCTGTGTGTTTGAAGGATTGGAAGTGTGTGCCATGCATTCACGGTCTATGGGACTGAGTCTGTCTGTGGGGATCGAAGCTAGTCCCTCCGGCATAGTGTGAGGTCCCTTGCACCCCAGCTGGGTAAACAAGCACGTGTTTTCCTTCCTAAGGCCCATCCTCCCCACTGAACGGTGAGTTTGACTGTGTGGGGATTGCACAGTTGTGAGAGTCTGTGAGTGAATGTGACCCAAATGTGCAAAATTGTGTGTTCCCTGGACACACCCAGCCTCTCAGGGCCAGATGAGCCTGCTTCTCCCAGGTTCCTAAGCTGGCATGCCTACTCTTTTATAGCCAGGCTTGACAACAGCCCTGTGATGACCTGGGGCCAGATGCCGTGATGAAGGTCACCAGACTGGCATCGGCCCTGGAGGGGGAGCCTATCTGCCCCCACTGGCCAAGTGAGGGGAGACTAGAGGAAGCTAGACTTTAGAATCAAGTTGCAGATGCACAGCACCAGGCTCAGCCTGGCCTTCCCCTGCAGCTCAGGGCCTGAAGGGTCTCTGGCTGACCCAACTCCAGCACATCCGGGCTCTCCCTTGGGACACATGACACTTTCCTAGACTTTCTCTCAGGGCTGTGGTTCCCTGTATTTCCCACCTGTGTTCCCCATGCCAACCCATATTCCTCACCAAGTCCTCTCACCCCAGTCCTTGTCTCTTGGTCCCAGCCAGCGTCCATCTTAGCCACCACGTATTTTACCACCTCCTTCAAGTGAGGTTTCCCCTGTTTCCAGCTGCACAACTAGAAAGTGTTAGAGAGAGAATGAGAATACAGGTGCTGAGTAGACATGGGACAGACAGGTGTATCCTCAGGTCTATCCCCAAGTCCAGAGCACCTAGACCTGGTACAGGCTGTTGTGGGATGTTTGTACACCACCGAGGATGTCTGCTGTGATTGGTGTAATAAAAAGGTGAATGGCCAATAGCTAGAAGGGAGAGTGTAGGCGGGACTTCTGGGCAGAGAGAGAACTCTGGGAAGAAGAGAGGCAGGTCACCAGCTAGACATGGAGGAAGCGGGATGGGCAGCATGGAGGTGAGGTAATGAGCCTCATCAAAGAACAGAGACTTAGGGGGCTGGAGAGATGGCTTGGAGGTTAAGAGCACTGGCTGCTCTTCTAAAGGTCCTGAGTTCAATTCCCAGCAACCACATGGTGGTTCACAACCATCTGTACTGAGGTCTGGTGCCCTCTCCTGGCCTGCAGGCATACACACAGACAAATATTGTATATAAAATAAATAAATAAATAAATAGCCTAGTTGATAGAGCGGAACTCAGGTAGGCGGGGAAGACAGAACAGAATTCTGGGAAGAAGAGCAGAGTCAGGCAGACGCCATGGTTCTCCTGCCCGAGACAGACGCTGGTTAGACTCATGCCAGTAAGACATAGTCAAGTGGTGATACACATTAATAGAAATGGATTAAACTAATATGTGAGAGTCAGCCAATAAGGGGCTGGAGATAATGGGCCAAGCAGTAATTTAATTAATACAATTTCTGTGTGGTTATTTCAGATATAGGCTTAGCCGGGCAGCCGGAACAAGGGGCCCCGCTTCCCACAACAGAGTGGCGCCCAATGTGGGGCTCGAACCCATGACCCTGAGATTAAGAGCCTAATGCTCTACCGACTTTTGCTATGTGTAATTTTACTATGTTAAAGTTAAAGCCTTCCTTTTTGTTTAAACAGAAAAAGGGGAAATGGTGTAGGAGGTCCTTCTGTATTTGTGTTGCTTTCATTGGTTGAATAAAGAAACTGCCTTGGCCTTTTGATAGAGCAGAACTTAGGTAGGCGGGGAAGACAACTGAATGCTGGGAGAAAGAAGGCAGGCAGAGAGAGCTGCCATGGAGCCTCCTGGTCAGACATGCTGAATCTTTCCCAGTAAGCCACGACCTCGTGGTGAGTACACCTTAATAGAAATGGGTTAGATCAAGATGTGAGAGTTAGCCAATAGGAGGCTAGAGCTAATGGCCAGGCAGTGCTTAATTAATACAATTTTTGTGTGATTATTTCAGGTGTAAGGTAGCCAGGCAGCAGAACACAGCCCGCCACTCCTCCTACTACAATGATAGATAGATGATAGATAGGTAGATAGATAGATAGATAGATAGATAGATAGATAGATGATAGATAGATAGATGATAGATAGATGATAGATAGGTGATAGGTAGATAGATAGATGATAGGTAGATAGGTGATAGGTAGATAGATGATAGATAGATAGATGATAGATAGATGATAGGTAGATAGATGATAGGTAGATAATAGGTAGATAGGTAGATAGATAGATGATAGATGACAGATAGTAGATAGATAGATAGATAGATAGATAGATAGAAAATAGGTAGATAGATAGATAGATAGATAGATGATAGATGACAGATAGATAGATGATAGATGATCGATAGATAGATAGATGGATAGATAGATAGATAGATAGATAGATAGATGGATAGATAGATAGATAGATAGATAGATAGATAGATAGAGCTCAATGGCTATAGAGATGGCCCATTGACTAAGAGCACTTTCTAATCTTGCAGAGGACCTGGATTTGGTTCTGAGCATCCACACAGTGGTTCACAACTGTCTGAAAGTCCAGTTCCACGTAATCTGTCATCCTCTTTGAACTTCTACAGGTACCAGACGTGCACATACACACACTTACACACACACACATTCAGGCAGAACACTCATAAAATTACAAATAAATAAATTAAATAAATAAATAAATTTACAAACTTGGGTAAGAGCCTGGTAGTGGCACAGTCCAGTACTCAGGAGGCAGAGGAGGCAAGTGGATCTCTGTGAGTTTGAGGCCAGTCTTATCTACATAGCAAGCTCTAGGACAGCTAGGACTACATTGAGAGACCTCGTCTCAAAACAAACAACAACAAAACAAGCAGAAGGAGGAGGAAGAAGAGGAGAAGATGAAGAAGGAGGAAGAAGAGGAGGAGGAGGAGAAGTTGAAGAAAGCCCTTAAAAACACAACTTTCTGAAGCTCTACACATACCGTGGTTAACCCCTCAAAGTTCAGTCTAAATGTTGCGCCACCTGGTGGATATTAAGCAGAACTTCAGGCTCTGAGTGGGCACCCAGCCACAAATAGCTCAGCTCCCAAGCCTGTGTTGCAAATAGCCCTGGTTCTCTCCCTGCCCGGAGCACAGCTGACTCACCCCAGTCTCTCACACAGGAGAGGACATAGCTACTCTGAAACCAGCCTCGCAGTCTATGACCAGCTGCGTGTTTGTTGTGGCTGTTCCCTGTTGCCCACTCAAGACGTCAATGGATGGGTGTAAAACGCTGTATCGGAGAGACTGGCTGGGGACCCTTGGTGTCCTTTTTGAGATGAAGCCAAAGAAGACGGAAAACTCCTCTATGGGTGCTGCCCATTTGAGGCATGCCTCCCCATCTGCAGACTTGAATGCCTTGCCTTAGAGCTCTGTACATGGGGGGGGGGGGCGCAAAATCAGCCATAGCTCAGGCCCTGGGACGACACCGGGAAGGCCCTGGTTGGTGTTCATCTAAGTGCTGAGCCCTTCCTCAGTCCTGTGACTGGTCCTGCAGAAACAAAAGTTCTCTGTGCTGGTTACGTTTAACTTGCCTCTACCTAGGCTCACCTGGGCAGAGCGTTTGCATTAGGTATTAACTCCATCAAGATAGCCTGGGGGATTGTGTGGGGGTTGTCTTGATTGTTAACTGATAGGGAAGACTCAGCTCTTTGTGGGGGCGATTCCAAGGCAGGGGCTCCTGAACAGGAGGAAAAAGCTAACCAAGAGCAGTACACAGGCTTGACATGGTGGCGCACGCCATTAATCTCAGCCCTCAGGAGACAGAGGCAGATGGGACTCTGTGAGTTCGAGGCCAGCTACATAATGAGACTTTGTCTCAAAACCTTCAAAATAAATAAAGCAAGAGTAATGGGATTTTATTTCTCTTCTTTCCTTCCTTACTTTTTTCCCCCTCCTTCTTTGAAACAGTCTTAGTAAGTAGTCCTGGTTGTTCTGAAACTCAGGCTGTAGACCAGGCTGGCCTTGAACTCTCAGAACTCCACACGTCTCTGCCTCCCGAGTGCTGGGTTTAAATGTGTTCCTGGCCTCAGACTCGGTTCCTCTCTGCTCTTGACTGTGGTGTGGTGCAACGAGGGCCTTCAAGCTCCTGTCGCTGTGACTGTCTGCATGAAGAGCAGACAAACGCCTCCCTCCCCCAGCTAAAGAAATAAGTCTGGAAGGGGCCTGCCTGAGAGGGAGGGGTTTCCTGCCAGTGTCAGGGAAAGCAAAGGGATCTTGGAGGGGGCGGCCCCTTTGTCACTGCTCGTGGACCATGTGCGTTTTGCCCTCTGAGGATTATGTATGAGAGAAGAGAAGACGAGGGCTCAGCGCACAGTCCAGTCTGAGTCTGGCACATCCCGAGTGCTGTCTGTCTGTGAACTTCAGTTAACCCACCTGTAAAATGGGTTTCACTCTCTGTTGCTTTTCTGATGCTGAGCATCAAGCCCAGAACCTCCCGCATCCGAAGCAAGCATTCTACCACTGGCTGCACCTTAGCTCTGAGACCTACTCTGACTGTCAGCCCTACCTCCTGCCACTAGCCAAGGGACACAGCTCTTAGACACCGTGTGTTAGTGCAGCAGTAAGACCCGAGAGGCCACACAGTGCTGGGAAAACACCACCCCCAAATCCGTGGCCCCTTCACGGTCTGTTTCTAAATTTTTAAAACTTTGTTTTCCTTTCATTTATTTCGTGCAGGGTGTTGCTGGTGGTCAGAGGACAGTGTCTGGCACCCAGTCCTCTTCTTCTATGCGTGGGATTTGGGGATAAAACTTGGTCATGGGGCTTGGAGGCAACTCCTTTACCCCTGCTGCTCTGTGTGGTGTTTGAGTGAGAACAGGGGGTGGACCTGGGAAAGGGTTAGAAGGATGAGGAGGGGTGGTCTTGTTGGAGGAAGTGTGTCTGGGGGGGGGAAGCCCCGCCAGCCCAGTCTCGCCCTTTCTCGGCCTCTGCATCAGGAGGCAGCACTCCGCTATGTCAGAACTACACCTGCTCGCTGCTGTGCTCCCCGCCATGGTGATGGTGGACTAACCTCTGACGCTGTAAGCAAGTCACCAGTTAAGTGTTTTCTTTTCTAAGAGTTGCCTTGGCCATGGTGACTCATCACAGCAATAGAACAGTGAATGAGACACCTATTCTAAATTTTTGAAGCCACAAGCACCCCCATCCTGGTCACCAGCCTTGCCTGGCCTAGAAATTTCAGAGTCCACAGCCAAGTCCTGTTGCCTGCCTCATGAAGGATCTCGCTGTGGCAAGGCTTCCCGCAGCGCGCATGGAGCCAGCAGTGTGAATGTCCTTGCTGAAGGGGGCTTCCTCTGACCCAGGCAAAGACGTGATTTCCCCAGCTATTCCCATAACCCCGGCCTTTAACCATGGTATACTGAGTGTGCCCCCTCACCCCGTGTGTGTGTGTGTGTGTGTGTGTGTGTGTGCGGTGTGTGTATTACTAATTTTTGATCACATACAGTGTCCTGTTTAGGGTTACTACTGCTGAGACGAAATACCATGGCCAAAGCATGTTGGGAGGAAAGGGTTTGTTTATTTGACTTATGCCTCACATCGGAGTCCATCACTGAAGAAGTCAGGGTAGGAGCTCAAGCAGGGCAGGAAGCTGGAGGCAGGAGCTGATGCAGAGGCCATGGAGGGTGCTGCTTACTGCCTTGCTCCCCATGGCTTGCTCAGCCCGCTTTCTTATAGAACCCAGGACCACCAGCCCAGGGATGGCACCACCCACAATGGGCTGGGTTCTCTCTCATCAACCACTAATTAAGAAAATGCTCCACAAACCAATTTTATGGAGGCGTTTTCTCAAATGAGGGTCCCTCCTCTCAGATAACTCCAGCTTGTGTCAAGCTGACATAAAACTGGCCAGCATGGAGCTTTAAAAGCTTATGTACATGGTGTGTATACACAGAATATGTGGAGACCAGGGGACAACTTCTGACAGTCCTTTCCTCCTGTCTTCTTGTTGGTTTTTTGTTTTGTTTTTTTGAGACAGGGTTTTTCTGTGTTGCTTTTGGAGACCAGGCTGGTCTCGAACTCACAAAGATCCACCTGCCTCTGCCTCCTGAGTGCTGGGGTTAAAAGTGTGCACCACCACTGTCCAGAAAGTAAGCTGTGTTGGGCCCAGAATATTTTATCTTTTATTTATTTATTTATTTGTTTGTTTGTTTGTTTGTTTGTTTGTTTGTTTATTTATTTATTTATTTATTTATTTATTTATTTATTATGTATACAGTATTCTGTGTGTATGCCTGCAGGCCAGAAGAGGGCACTAGACCCCATTACAGATGGTTGTGAGCCATCATGTGGTTGCTGGGAATTGAACTCAGGACCTTTGGAAGAGCAGGCAATGCTCTTAACCACTGAGCCATTTCTCCAGCCCAGAATCTTTCATCTTTTAAAGGTTTGTTTTATTCATATGAGCGCTTTGCCTGCACGTATGTCCGAGCACCACATGCATGCCCGGTGCCTGAGGAAGTGTAAGCCTCCATGTGCCAGGATTACAGGTGTGTACACCACACCTGGGAAATCAGTGTATCTGAGAGTATGGACAGTGTCTTCTTTGTCCCACCAGTACCCGGCATGTGGCAGGTGTTCACTGAGTACCGGCTGACAACATGGAAAACCGATGGCCGGGCCAGCCTTTCCGGTCTTTTGGTGTAGTGGTTATCAAGTTGGCCCACCGCCGGCTCTGGTTCTTTCCCTGCCTGCCCTTTACCACCGTCTCTGTTAGGTGATAGCCAAACCTTAGCAAGAGTCTACACACTCTCAGATAGGGTACCACTCTACAGCCTAGTCCACCCTTGAATCTGCAGCCTTCTCCTGAGCCCCACCCAGTGCTGTGGTTACAGGTTGCCTTACCTGGCTAGGGCATTACAATGCTACTGCGTGCCACAGGAGCACGCAGGGGGATCTAGCCTGTTCTCTGTGCCACTAAGGGAAAAGCCCCCTCCCTGGCTCCTGAGAAGCCTTTTGATTGTCCCGCCCATGCTTCACCCTTAACCTTCTGTCCTTTCTGCTCTCCTGACAGGGCGCTGTAGCTATGTGAGCCTCAGGCCCCAGCAGGGAACATGTTTTTAAACAAAATCACAAATGGTCATGAAGGAATCCAGTTATACTGAAACACAGTTAACAGACATTTACATTTTTGGTATGTAATATATATGTTTCTTTATTAACATGTTAAAAACAAGGAAATCTAATAGCTATGATCATTTCAAAGTAGTGACGCATAAATGATATTCTGAGATATAAAGCAGTCTGAAAACATCTGGGACTTCCGTCGGCTACAAAGTCACAGGTGCTGTTAACGCTATCGTGGCCTGACGCCCAAGTACATAAGGGAATGCTAAACTTGTCACAGGGGAGTGAAAATAAAGAATGCCATTTTTTTCCTATCTAGGTTCACAAATCCCCTGAAATCCTTGGACCCAGTCAAAATCCTCTGACTACAGCCTGAGCCTTAACTCCCATACGCGGGCCCTGGGAAACAGGGACTGAAGCCGTTTTCCCCGTGGGAAGCCTGAGCCTAGAAAAGTTAAGGGATCTGCCCAAAGTCGCCCAGCTTCAGACTGAAGCTCTGTCCCTCTCTGCACACAGAGCTGGACCCTAGAGCCAGGCCCTCCGTGGACTGAGAGCTAGAATGCCCTGCTCACCCGGGACCTGAGCCCTGGAGGGTTCAGCCAGTGAAGCAGAGGGACATGGCCCCTTGAAACCACACACACTCAGTTATTTTTATCTCCAGTTTATTTTTTTTAGACTAAGAGCAGAGTATGAAAGTCACAGCCAAAGCACTTGAAAAAGGCCCAGGATGGGTGGGGACCACATAGGGTGGGCAGGGCAAGGTCCTGGGAGTTGGTTCCCGGCTCAGGGCTGGAAGGGAGGGGGCATTGTTGTTAAGTCTCCAAAAGTGTCTGTGCGTTGCATAGGTCCTGTCTTCACAGAAGACAAAAGAGGGGCCAGGGGGGTCCCAAGAGGGGCCTAACCTGGTGGGGAAGGGGTCTGAATCTGGAAGGGGGGGTCAGAAAAGGTCAAGGTTAGGAGGGGAAGGGCTCTGTCTGTCTGTACATTATATATAGAGATATAGTGTCTGTACATGCCTGTCGGGCACCCCAATGCCCACCCCTGTCTACTGCCTGCTCCCCCCAGGGGTGTCTATTTGTAAACTTGGATTCAATCCAAACCACAGCCCTCTGTGTGGGAGGAAGGAGGGAGGAGGACATGCTTATTGCTGTAAACAGGGGAGGGGTAGCCTGAGGCTGCACCCCTCACCCATCTAGTCCCCTCCCCATGTTCTGCCCCGGAGGAGAGTGACAGGGGGCACCTCCCGAGCTTCATTTGTTCTCTCTGGGGCATATGTGCCTCTTGGGGGGGGGGGACAAAGAGGGAGGGCACCAGGGTCAGGGAAAGGTACCGGGGGGCAGGGAGTCCTGAGCACTGCCTTTTAAAGCCCCCAGGTTTGGTACCAAACATTACCAAAGCCACAGGCCACCTGGGACCTGTGGCTGCCCCTGTGCCTGATCCACTACAATGCCTGTCCTAGACAGTGGGCAAAGAGGGCAGGCGCAGATAGACAGATGTACGGTCAGATCCCATTCCCAACCACGGCAAGAAGGATGTAGGCCCCACAGCTGATTCACCGCTCCTTCTCAGCCCTGCCCCACCTCTCTCTGTCATAGGAAGGGACAGAGCTAGGAGGCCAAGAGTGTCATGAGGAAGAAGGCGATGCCCACGGCCAGAGGCAGGTGTTCCCGCTTGGGGCTGGTCCCGCTGATGCTCTTCTCAAGCTTGGGCACCTGGGGACTCTCTCCCTCAAAGTCTTCTGTGGAGAGACAAATAGACAGACTGGTAAGGGCTGTGCTGTACGCTGGGGCGGGGGGCACGCGGAGGCGGCAGCAGCAGCAGTGGAGCCAGGGATGTGACCACCCACGGGGGCGGGACGGGCAGGAAGGACCGGTGTCCCAAGGGAAGGCATGCGGAAAAAAAGCAGGCACCGGGAAGGGGGCTGCGGTTCCAGCAGTGGCCACCAGAGGGCGCTGC